CCCTCCCCCCTCCCCCCTCCTTTTCTTCCTCATCGACATGTCCTCTCTTCCTGTGTACGTTTCCTGGCACATGAACTATGCTTCTTTACCACATCCTGGAGATTTACCAATCTGCCACCATTACAATGGAACATGACCGTGTGTTCTTAGACAAGGTTCATCTGCTCACCTTAGACAGAGTCATACAGGCATATACGACTCACCAGGAGATGTGTTTCATGTGGTAAAATATTGCAATCGTATCTTAGCACTTTAGACGGGGCTTATCCAGGATGTTTTAAAGGGCATGGAGGGCCTTAGCCTCACCAAACTACAGTGTCCAGTCCAGCAATCACACATAGGTATCTGACATGTCGATACTAGCCCTTATTGCTCACTGTGAGAATTTACGACCTCTCCGATGATATTACATGGTGGTTCTGATTCCCGCCTTCTATCATTTCTCCAGATCAGCTAAAGATGCCGCCCGGGCTCTAGTCCGCTGATGAACCTGCCGCTCAACCTATATAAAAGAGGGAACTATAGCACGACTAGGTCTGAACGATGGAGACTACCCCTTTATGAGTCATGGGCTCTGTGCCCAATATCGTCCTAGGGCCGATGGTACCCAGTACTGGGCAAGGGATCCCGCTGATCGGCCCATTTGACACGACGAACAGCCGCGTGCACGTAAGCTCCGACATGATCATCGCCGGAGAGAAGTAGTGAAGGATCCACCTCCTTTATCCACCCACGGCTTCAACATCGGCAGTGAGATTTTACACCTCTGAAAGCATTTGATTTGACCATGAATCATGTCTCAAGCACTGGATATTATCAAGCGCACCTGTTGTTTCATATAGACGAGTGTTTCGCGTTCTCTCTGTCAGACGAGAGATGATCTGTCACAATAGGGGATAAGTTTCAAACATCTCCTCTCAGATCTTGTACCGTTTAATATCCCGTTGCATGATGTTAAGGATCTCTATGGGGCTGTTGGGAGTAGTGATCCGGTAGGGTTATATCAGTACACTTAGGATAGAAACAGGTATTTGAAGTCAACAGTATCCGGGTCGTATCTCGTAACCCCTTCTTGTCGTATCGGAGCCAAAGAATCAAACTCAAGAGTGTCCAACAATCATCACAATGCACTCTCTATCACTCCTATCCCTCGCCCTCCTCTCCCCGTTGCTGGTCAACGCCCAACTCTCAGGCCATGTCGGTCCCCTGACCTCCTCTGCCTCCAAAGCGAGCACCAAAACTTGTAACGTTCAAAACTACGGCGCCAAAGCTGACAAAGAGACCGATATTGGCTCCGCCATTGAGAAAGCATGGAGCGACTGCTCTGAGGGCGGCGTAGTCTACATCCCATCGGGTGATTATGCCATGTCCTCCAGGTTGAAGCTATCCGGGGGTAAGGCATCCGCGATCCAGCTAGACGGCATTATCTACCGCTCTGGTAGCGACGGCGGAAACCTTTTCATGATTGAGCACTCGTCGGACTTTGAATTCTTCAGCAGTACATCCAAGGGTGCAATTCAGGGATTGGGATACGAATTTCACAAGGATGGAAATCTGGATGGACCCCGGTTGTTGCGGTTCTATGATGTGACGGATTTCTCGGTCCATGATGTTGCACTTGTTGACTCACCTGCTTTCCATCTGTCTTTGGATACGTGTAAAAATGCAGAGGTCTATAATATGGCTATACGGGGTGGCGATTCTGGTGGTTTGGACGGTGTTGATGTTTGGAGCGAGAATGTTTGGGTCCATGATGTATGTTATTTCCTGCTTCTTTTCTCTCTTCTTTTTCGTGTTTCTTTGTACATTTTGTTTTCGACAATCTTTTCGAAATTGTGGCTAATGGTATATGTGTTCAGGTTGAGGTGACGAACAAGGATGAATGTGTCACGGTTAAAGTTGGTTTCCCTGCATCTTTTGTACAACAGTTTACCTCGCTGACTGGATTATAGAGTCCCGCGAACAACATCCTGGTCGAAAATATCTACTGTAACTGGAGTGGAGGTTGTGCAATGGGATCGTTGGGTGCGGACACCAACATCAGCGACGTGGTGTATCGCAACGTCTACACCTGGAAGTCTAACCAGATGTACATGATCAAGAGCAACGGCGGCAGTGGAAGTGTCTCGAACTTGGTATTGGAGAACTTCATCGGTATGTTTATGCCTCATTTTGGTACCGGTAGAGCCGCATACTAATAGTAATGCCCTGGATGTATTAGGTTATGGTAATGCTTACTCCTTGGATATTGATGGTGAATGGAGCAGCATGAGCACTGTATCGGGAGACGGCGTACAGCTGAACAACATCACTGTGCGCAACTGGAAAGGTACCGAGGAAGACGGTGCGGCAAGAGGCCCGATTAAGATCGTGTGTGCTGCAAAGGCACCTTGTACTGATATCACTATCGATGACTTTGCACTGTGGACAGAGTCAGGGGATGAACAGACCTATAGCTGCGAGAATGGTTTTGGAAGCGGATTTTGCCTGCAGAATGGTGATGGAACGTCTACTTATAGCACTATTATCACTGAAACTGCCGCTCCGACAGGATACGATGCGAGCAGCATGCCAAATGATTTGAGTACCGCATTCGGAACGGACGCTTCGATCCCGATTCCGACTATCCCCACGTCGTTCTTCCCTGGCGCCACGCCCTACAGTTCGCTGGCGGGGGCTGCCTCAGGCAGTGCCGCGAAAGCCACATCATTCGCCACGGTGTCTCGTTCCCGCCATCGTCGCGGGTCCCATTAATTAATTAATTAAGCGTCGGTGGAGATTCTCTTGCGGGGACGATAGTTGACTCGACTCTCTTTCTTACATAGTCCATTAAGCTATCAGTACTGTGTACTTTTTCAATGTGAAGTCGATCCATGTGGAGTCTATCAGATCCTCTACGTGCTTTATTACTCTCTTTTCCTCCTTGATTCCGACTAAACTGTCACCGATGTAGTTCACCTCGTTTCCTGGTTGACATTACAAATGCAACTCTGGCTGATGAAAGAGTAGCATCCAGTTTACCTTGAATGATACCATCGAGGCGGCTGATTCCGTCATTTAATACTACACCAACCAAGATGCGTCTTCAAAGTAGCGTGAGTCGTACATTTTGCTTAGAACCCTTTGTACCTAGCGTTGTCCTCTCCCGTCCCATTTCCCATGTGCTCGTGAGCCTTTAAGGGTGATTGCTTGCCTCCAATGACTTGCCTTGCTCACTCTCACTCGACCTTTAGAGATCGGTGATAGATTATACCCCCCTCCCGACAATGGACGACTCAGCGCCCAAATTTGACGAACCCGACCCTTCCTCGTCGCCGCGGCCACCGTCATACGATGGCGCTGCGACGTCCATTTACCGAGCGAACGCCGATGTACTGAACCAAGCCCTCCAGGATATCGGAATGGGCCGATATCAGTGGCAGCTGTTCGCTGTCATCGGGTTTGGCTGGGCTAGCGATAATTTGTGGCCAATCGTCACCTCGCTCATTCTCGTGCCCATATCTTATGAATTCAACGTCGCTCAACCGCCTCTGTTGACGCTCGCCCAGAATATCGGGCTGTTGGTCGGGGCGCTCTTCTGGGGGTTTAGCTGCGATTTTTTCGGGCGACGATGGGCTTTCAATCTCACAATCGGCATCACCGCCGTCTTTGGCCTGGCAGCTGCTGGGTCACCTACATTCGCAGCGGTCGGCGTCTTTGCGGCTTTGTGGTCGGTCGGCGTGGGGGGTAACCTACCGGTGGATTCGGCTATCTTCCTCGAGTTCCTGCCGGGATCGCATCAGTACCTGCTGACCGTCTTGTCCGTCAACTGGGCCCTGGCACAGCTACTGGCGAACCTGGTTGCATGGCCGCTGCTGGGCAATCTGACCTGTGCGTCGGCAGAAACTTGCACCAGGGACAACAACATGGGCTGGCGGTATTTTTTGATCAGCATGGGCGGGCTGGCCCTGCTCATGTGTATTGTCCGCTGTCTCTTCTTCACACTTTATGAATCCCCGAAGTATCTCATGGGCAAGGGCCGCAATCACGAAGCCGTAACTGTAGTCCACGAGGTTGCCCGTCGCAACGGGAAAACGTCTGATCTGTCGCTAGAGAATCTGAGTGAACTAATAACCCTTGAAGGTGAACAGCATGCTCCGCGCCAAGGTCTCAGTACATCCGATCAGATGCGCATGCTGATGGAACCGCTCAGCCTTTCACACGTCAGAGCGCTATTCAACACACCACTGCGTGCCTGGTCTACCGGCTTGATGATTGTGATCTGGACTCTTATCGGACTCGGCTTCCCCCTTTATAATGCCTTCCTGCCCTACCTCCAACAAACCCGGGGCGTCCAATTCGGGGACGGCTCTACCTACACCACCTACCGCAACTCGCTCATCATCGCGGCTATCGGCGTTCCCGGTAGTCTCGTCGGTGGCGCTATGGTTGAACTCCCCCGTCTAGGCCGGAAGGGCACTCTCACCTTCGCTGCCATCGCGACAGGGACGTTTCTACTGGCGTCGACCACGGCGTCTACCTCCGAGGCACTTCTTGGCTGGAATTGCGCATACAGTTTCACAAGTAGCCTGTTGTATGCCGTGCTGTACGCATACACCCCGGAGATGTTCGAAACCAAAGACCGCGGAACAGGCAATGCATTGGTCAGTGCCGCGAATCGTGTGGGAGGCATTATGGCCCCTATTATCGCCATCTTCGCTACTGTACAGACGACCAGCCCGGTGTACGTGAGTGGAGTGTTGTTCTTAGTTGCAGGGTTCTTGGTGTTGCTTATTCCCTACGAAACGAGAGGGAAGTCGAGTTTGTAGATCTTTTTCTCGCTCATCTACTACTTGTCAACGTGCATCCTGCCTTGTCAGGAGGATCGGTCAGTCATAGAGGCCGATCGCCACATATAACGTATCTTTTCTGATGGATAGTCAATCATGCTTGCTCTGGAGCTTAATGGAATCTTTTAACTAGATAGATCTACCTCAAAACGCTACACAATGGACCAGAGACCTTGTCTCTCTACCGCCATAATGATTGTCCCAGTCCTGAAGATGCTTAACCTTTTACTATCTATTTGCAATATGAAAGCTTTAGTAGCAACTTAATTATCTTGAAAGTGAATACTAAACCTCTTAATGCAGTCTACCAACCTGAAACGTAGTAGATTCAGCTGTGTGAATTTCTAGCACCCTCAATTCACAGGAAAACGCTAGTATTTTAGCAAATAGTAGGAATGCCAGTTATTATACCCTCCAGCCCATTTCCACGAGATTGTCCTTAACGGTATACCCTTGAGAGGATTCTCATCACCTTGACTTAGTACAGAAGCATGCGCTAGACGGCACAGTAAATAGAGAAGGAAGCTGCGTTCATTCCTCGGGTATGTTCACTCCTCGAGTATGTGAGCATATTCACCGAGATGTCGACTCCACAAGATGAGATTGAATAGCTTTGGTACTGCTAATGCGATGAATGAGGGCGAACATGCCATGCAGACCAGCTTTCCGTGACCCGGGGAAGTTCAATAGGAGAGACGACGAAATAGCATGGATTGATGGATGGGGTACATTCTGGGGTTATGCTTGCACAGCTTTCCTTGCATGGACTTGACAATTTAACTGATTGCCTTCTTCGTTATTCGGCTTCTTTTTTTTTTTTTTTTTTTTCCGCTGAGTAGTGATGGTCGAGTAGTGTAAGTGGAAAAGGCCAATTGTATTGCAGGGAGAGTTAAAAGTAGATAAACTTCTGCAGCTGAGCTGCATCAATGAAAAGGACGAGGGAACAGCCAGACTTTGGTTCACACCTTATAGAATCCCTTCCTGTTCCAAAAAGAGATATACCTCTTCAGCAACGGAGCATCCAGCGGTTGATACTGGATATCAGGCCGATCCTTCAATGCCTCGACCGTATTATCCGATCGATAATACGGAGTATACTGACTAACTTCCCAGCGGGTCAATCGCCCGAGGACACGCTCCCTGAACATTGGCAACAGGGACGCCAGCGGTCCATCCGGCCGTTGCTTTGCGAAGACCTGTTCAACCCAGTCGTTGTAGTCGATTATCTTCACCGGGTAGCCGGCCTCATTAATTACACGGCAGGTATCAATCACAGTGACTGATTTCGACTGATCCGGGGAGAGAAGGCTGTAGGATCGTCCTAGGCTCTCATTAGACGAGGCGATATGCATCGCGGCTGAGATCACGTAGTCGAGTGTCACATATTCTAGCCGTTGGTCCAGTCTGGGAAAGGTACCCAGTTGGATGCATCCGACTATTAACCGCGACATAAAGTCGTCAGGATTGCTATGTCCGGTTACACTGTCTCCGATGATGAACCCCGGCCGGTAAATGACGGTGGGTAAACCTCGGTCACGCATGCGACGTACCATCGATTCAGCTGTCCATTGACTGCCCGAGTACCCTAGGTCATACCGTACGGCCTGGCTGTGTGGCATCAAGGATTCGTCCTCGTATAGCTCTTTGGTTCCCAGTATGAGGCCGGTTGGGCCCCACACGTCGATAGTGGAAAAGTAATGGAAGGCTTTGCGACGACCTGCAGCGGCCAGGCGGAGCGCATTACAAGTGCCGATTACGTTGGATCTGTGGTGTTCGCGGTACGATTCACAGAAATTCACTTTAGCTCCGAGATGGAAAATTATTGATGCCCAGTTGGCTAGCCAGTTGAAGCGCTCTGTTCCTAGGCCTAGAGTGCTATCGACGAGATCACCGTCAAGGACAATAAGCTTTTGCTCGTGTTCCGCACAATCAGCCCACAGGTCGTAGCGCTCCAGGGCTTGTCGGATGCGGGTGGTTGCACTCATATTCTGCTTCGAGCGGGCTAGACAAGCTACTTGCTTGACAGATGGCCTTCGAAGAAGACAGTGAAGAAAGTGCGCTCCGACAAAGCCGGTCACCCCTGTGATAAAAACCCTTCCCTCATCTTCGGATTCCCAGTGAGGGAGTAGTTCAATATCATCGACTCGACTTACGTCTTCTAACCACAGCCTGGTGTTATCAGGCGCATTGCATGTGCTCCCGGATTCCTTGAGTTCGATAAGCTGTGATAGACTTGTTAATGTAGAATGACTGTAAAGGTCTTCCATCGTAACCATGCACCCTAGACGGTCTTGGATCAATGCAAGAAGAGTCGCAGCTTGGAGTGACGTGGCTCCTAGGGCAAACAGATCATCGTCATCGTGGATACGTGGAATGTTCAGAATCTTCTTGCACAGGTCAGAAAGCGCTGTCGTCTTGTCTTGTTTCTCTCCAGTGCCATTTTGAAGGGGTTTCTGTTCTTCGAGCATCTTGAGCCGGCCATCTATCAGCGCCTTGCGGTCCAATTTTCCGTTTGCTGTTAAGGGAAACCTTTCCAAAATTTCCATCGCATTGGGTAGCATGTATTGTGGAAGTCGTTTAGAAGCAAAGTCCCTCAAGTCCTCTGGATGTACAGAATCCATGTCCTTCGGAACAACGAAGGCCACTAATGCTTCCATTCCATCTTCTGTTAGTGAGGGCTGTCAAGCAACGACCGCCGCCTGAACTTGCTCATGAGATTGCAGGACGCATTCAATCTCTCCTAGTTCTACTCGAAATCCGCGGAACTTGATCTGTGTATCTGACCTGCCCAGAAAGTCGAGACAACGGGATCCATATTGCCATGCACCTATATCGCCAGTGCGATAGAGACGCATAAGACCATCCTCTTCCGGAATCCCGAGATCCTGTTTACGTAGACGGATGAAGGATTTCTCAGTCTCCGATGGCCGGGCAAAATATCCAGAGGATTGTTGAGGGCCTCCAATGCAAATTTCTCCGCGTCTCCCGCAGTCAAGGATAGGCTTCTGATCTTCGTCTAGTAAGATGACTTTCATATCTCCCACGGGCTGTCCAATGCTGATACGTTCACGGCGAGTGTCTTTAAGTGTCACTTCAAACATAGTTGTCAGAGTAGTACACTCGGTAGGTCCGTATGTATTCCACAGATGCCGGGGAGGACGTGTTTCTAATACACTCCTCATCGCCCGCGCATTGGCGACGTCACCCGCCGTGAGAACGTGACGTAGCGATTCGAACGCTCCAGGAGAAGCAAAGGCAATAGTCTCAAACAGCGCCGCAGTGATTATGATGATCGTTATACTTTGCTCCCTAAGGAACGTAGGGAGAGCATCAGGGTCTGTGACTACATGACGTGGAGTGACCACAATGGTTGCACCAGCAATCAGGGTGACCCAGATCTCGAAAAGGCTGAGGTCGAAGCCGGGACTATTGAATTGTGCCACTCGGTCTTCTGGAAAAAGTGGTGTCACTGGAGTCTTTGTGGCAAGATGCAATATGCTACTTGCTTGGACCTGAACCGGCTTGGGTTTCCCGGTTGAACCAGATGTAAAGAGTATGTGGCTCCGCTTGACCCGATGGCCAAACCCTAAATTGGGAACGACAGAGGTAGAATGCTTTTCGATATCACTGAAGTAGATATGATTGAATCCACGGAGCGTCAGGGTTCTAGGCATTTCCATAATGACATGTTTAGCTTGGACATCTTGTAACATGGACTTGATTCGACGCTCTGGAAAGGAGGGCTCAATCGGTACGCAGGTGCCTCCAGCCAGAAAGACAGCAAGTTGAGCAACAACTTGTAACCTCCCTGAATCGAGAAGAATTCCAACTGGTTCCTCCGTGGATATCTCGACCTCTTTTCTCAGTGTCTGAGCTAATGCATTCGACTTAGCAACCAGTTCGCCGTACGTGAAGGTGAATGCTCCATCAATAATGGCGGTTGCACCTGGGGTTTGCTGAGCATGTGCAGAGATAATTCGTTCCATGGTTGCAAGGATAAGCGTTAAAGAGTATAGTTGAGTAAGAATTTGTCGAAATTTACTGATCAAGCAGCTAGATGATATAAAGGACCTGAGTAGGCAATAGACTTACACAAAAAAGATCTGACAACTGATTGTTTTGTGCTCGCACCTCATCCAGAGCTTCTTAGTTGCTCTGCATCACTATGCCGTAAGGTGAAATGGAAAAGCAAGGCTATCCTACCAGCTTCTTGTTATCGTTTCTCACCGTCTTGATTCGGTTCTTGATGGTGTCACTATTCCTGCCAAGGTGGTGGCCAAGTATGTTTGAGTTTCTCACAGTTATCATATCGAAGTCCACCATGTGGGTATCCAGTCTAACCAATCCTCGCATGGTTGAATTAGGAGGTCATAGACTTGTTGGGAATGCAAAAAACAGACGCGCATGACCTGAAACTTGTGGCGTGACAGGAAGTGAGCAGGGCCAAGTCGTGTGCAATTCTTAGTCCTTGCCTCTAGATACTACCTCCATCAACGTCAATATATGACATACCGCTACTGACCTTGCGCTAGCTGAGTGGGCTCATCCAAGCCTAGGTGCCAAACCTATCCTGCAGATCTAGTACACTTTCTTTGGGATCAACCGGTGACAATTTTCATGCCACAATGCAATAGACATGGTTGATGACCCTGGTATGACGTTGTGGAATTTAATCCTGAATGTATATTCGGAATTGACAAGGGGGGTGAAGAACTGTGGGGGCGCTTAGTTTAGTGTAGGAGCTGATTTGTCGATTTCCTGTTCGAATCCTCCATATTGAGTTCCGAGAGCTGCATTGTGGGTTCGCCAAACCACATAGAAAGCGCTCTTCCTTACGTTCACTGGATCGCTACATGAGCGATTGACGTCTAGACTTCATGTATTTCCAAGGATGCTTGATACACCTGATAGGGCCTTGGATATTGACACACTGGGCCCGGTAAGCACGGGCCCTGTGAGTAAAGTCACCTGGAGCCTGACGTTTCGACACGAGTAAAACTGAGCCTATTGTGCCACTGACATGCTAGAGTGCCACATTATGAGGGTTGTCATTGATACTTGCCGCGGAAGATATGGCACCATCAGGTTTTGTGTCCCAAAACTCAGCAGGATGTGGCGCTATGAGTATACGCGATATCACTGAAGTTAAACGTACTGGAGAAATTGTAGTATGTGATGCAGTCCGGTAGTACTATATAAAGGTAGACAGGCTGCAGTGTCTCGGAAACATAGAAGCAGGGCTCATCAAGAAAACAATATGAGTGTGGGGCTCGATATTCTCTGCCATAAGCTCCAGGCTGTGCTGGACAACCGCCGTGAAGAGGGTCGACTTATTGACCCCCCCTCTGCGGCTACTCTGGCTCAAATGACAGACTTTGGGTCTAACGACAGCCTCTCTCTGTCATCCTCCGGTGTTCTATCGATGGCACTTTTGCGCGAGCTTCTGAAACACCCTAATTTCACTGTCGGAAGCACCTCTTCACGTATCTTAGATGGCACCAAGCAGTATCTAGAGGACATTGAGCGTGACTTGGCTCAGTTCCACCGTGCTGAGTCGGCCATGTTCTTTAGCTCGGGGTATGATGCCAATGTGGCCGTTTGGTCTGCAATCCCACAGCCTGGTGACTTTGTCGTTTATGACGAATACGTGCACGCAAGTATTCATGACGGCATGAGACGAGGCCGAGCCACGACTGTCCCATTTAAGCACAACGATTGTGAATCTCTTCGAGACTGCCTGAAGGACATCCAAGCTGGGCACTCTGCTGTCTCTGAAGGGGAACAGGTTGTCTTTATATCACTGGAATCGTTCTACAGCGTGGATGGCGACTTGGCTCCAGTTCAGGAGATGGTGAATGTTGTCCGAGACACTATTCCGCAGGGCAATTATGTGCTTGCAATCGATGAGGCCCACTCCAATGGAGTTGTCGGACCAAACGGCTCGGGGTTCATCTGCCATTATGGGCTGGAAGCTGACTTTGGCATACGACTCCAGACGTGTGGGAAAGCGCTAGGCTCGACAGGAGGTAAGAATCATCGTTCCGTGCTTTGTCTCCATAGGGTCTAACGAGCGAAAATAGCGGTAGTGTTGGCCAACGAAACAATTAAATTCGCGCTTCTCAACTATGCTCGCAGCGTCATTTTCAGCACAGCTCCAAGCTTTCTTACCGTATCAGCCGTGAAGGCTGGCTATGGTTTGCTAGCCAGTGAAGAGGGAGAAAGGGTTCGTTTAACCTTCTATGGCAAGGCTCTAACCGGCTAACTCTGTATCGTAGCGTCGATGCCGACTGCAGAGGAATTTGCAGTACTTCTACCAGACGCTGACGACAAGCGTTGAGTGGAAGCATGCAAAAGAAAAGGGTATTTTTAGTCTTCCGACCGAGAGGACCTGGCGATCACAGGCCTTCCTGGCCCCCATAGCTGCAATAGTGATGCAGCCAGGAAAGGCAAAGGAGTTGGCACAACATTTACACCAGGCCAAGTATTGGGTCAATACGGCAAACTTTCCCCTGGTGCCTAAGGACAAGAATCGAATTCGGATTGTCATACACGCTGACAATACCGAGAACGAGATCAAAGGCATTGTTCGCTTACTGAGAGAGTGGGCCCAAGGGCAACTGAGACTCAGTGAGAGAAAGTCAAGACCTGCCCGAATGTGAGGAGTTGTGCAAATTGAATGTTGAAAAAAGTTCCTTTTCATATTTTCCCATTTTCTGTATTCGTTTGTTATGTGTTTACCAAATTGCCACAATGGGATCAAACTGGGATTTACCGGATTTATCAAAGCCTATTCCATCTTCCAAAGTAACCTGAAACTTGAGAGTTAAGCTTTGGAAGGACTGGAGGTTGAACGAGAGTTGAATTGAGGATCAGCCTAGAGTTCTTAGTATATAGTACTCGGTATTCCTAACTATAGGAGGGGTGTCATGTGCTATTCATTTATCTCGTGACATTTAGATACTTAATTCATTCGCTTTTGCTACGAGACTGGTTGAGATTTGGATCTCATTGCTTACCACACCGGTCGACCCGGTGACTTAAAAGGGCTTTTGTAAGAAGGACCATAAACAAGCTCTTGTACTCGATAGTGGACTCAGGCCTAAAGCAACAATCCTAGTGTTGGTATACAAACTTGGCATGGCCAGAACGACCATGGCTTAGACTCTGCAGCAGATTGCATTTAGCCCAAATACCTTTCGCTGGGGAAATACTGAACTGTGCGCACTTGTTTACAGCATCTAGATTCTCCTATCTGTAGTCACTTGCTATGTTATTGCTGGTAGATATGATGAGAAGAGCGTAATAGAAGCCGAAAAGCAAAAGACAGGAGAAGAACAAACAAAGAAGCAGTTCAAGTAAAGGCCCAGGAGCTTGCAATGACAGCATCACGTAATAGGGTCACATCAAGGACACTCATAAATGTTATTTGCTTTGTTTGATATGAAGATCAAGACCCCGGAGACGTAGCTTCAATTCCGAATTCAAGCAAGACAAAATATCCTGATGGCAGTTGAAAGCTCGACCATTGCGGACCACTTCTGAATGCCACACTGGGAGGCTAAGATTACTCACTTTTGTCACAAGATCCCTGGCCTTTAGACCGACAAGAGTTGCTGTGCCAACTGGTGTGAGCAAACCGTTCGAATGCCTGTGTAACAGCAAAGTACCAAGCATCATTGACCTGCACCCAACAGAGCAGCCACGCTTTCCCTCAAGGAGAGAAATTTGAAGGCTGTCTAGAGAGGAAAAAATATACTGAATTGTCTCTAGTCTCGATTTGTTGATATCGCCTATAGGACCCATTAGTAGAGGGTTGTCAAGCAGTGATGTAACTGGTTTTACCAATGATCCTCTGGGGGATTGGTAAACCAAGCGAGGCAATTGAATCCGTAGCTTGGCTTATAACAATCTCTGTTGCCTTTTCAAAGAGGGCAGGCATTTTCCAAGCCCAAGATATCCACAACCATAGCAGTATTTCTCGCGAGTATTGTGTTGGAAAGCTCTGCTCTAAAGAACTAATCCACGTATCTGCGAAGAATCGCAGGACATTGAAACATTGATAATAATCGACCAAAAGAGTGACTTTTGCAAGAAGTACAACGCTAAGCGTTCGAGGAATTTGGTCGTTCTTGCAATGGCAAATTCTCAGCAGAATGAGAAGTGCCTCGAGATCCCAACCGTCCACGGTGATATTGACTGAGCCTGCAGTGCGGAGTGCATGGCCCTCCTTCCAAGTTCCATCAAGGGCGCTTTTGAAAACTGGCGAGACGGAAGTGAGGTGGCTTGAAGAAACTAAGATGCGGAATTCTGGGTTTTGTGACGTCTTGCGCTTCTTTTTGGGGTTGGAATTTTCTTCACTGAAACTGTCCAAGCCTTTGTTTGCGTTCTGCAGGGTGATCATTACATCTCCGTTTGGATCGATCACATGGGTTGCATTGCTCTCTGAATTCATTTTGGGAGATTTGAGTGATCTCTGGATATGGAAAAGAGACAAATAAAGATCGATAAGCTGTGCCAGAGAATACGCTGCAAGTAGGCTGGCTGGTGTTTTACCGGGGTCGGAGCCAGTTCATGCGCCCAGTTGTTGTGTTTACACTGCTTTTCCTACCATAAATTCAACAAGCTTATTAATTAGGAGTAAATAACTAGTTATTACTTTCTGTTTTGGTCTCAAGTGGGGTATACCGATGGCCTTTCTCTTTAATTCAGACTGAAACAGAGCATTCTTTCACTCTTGATACGTCTTTAAGAGAATTGGACACGAGTGATATCTAGATTGCCAAACTAATATGAAACTCAAACGTCACCACTACACGAGTTTCAATCGCACACTGAACCAAGATCTAATACTCGGGCTCGAGTAGCTCCTCAATTTGTATGCGCACTATGAGCGTGGGAGAAGTGTCTCCTTTTAAACAAGGAGCTAATTTATACGCACATCAGTCGTCGAGATAAAGTTATAAAGATCGCAAAATGAGTAAAATTCAACACCTAACTATTTTTTCAATCTGTCAACAGTTTCACGAAGAAGCAAAAGCAAAGGCACAACAGAGATAGTCGTCCAAAAGCATTTAACATGACGCCACTCAAAAACAGCAAAACCAGGGAAGCAAACCCAAACAAGCAAAGTCAAGGAAGCAAAGCTAAAGAAGCAAAGTCAAGGAGGCATGTCCAATCTCACTGGTGAAAATACCTTCTTCCTGAAGTCAAGGCTTGATGAAAACGCCCTCTTCCTTCCACCTGCCCTCCGTGAAGGACGCAGTGCCGATCGCTCCCTCGGGTTCAACCATCTTGTAGAACAAGATGATCTTGTTGCGGTACACCATGGCATTGATGCCAGCGTCTTCATAGACTCTCCTTACAACGTCAATAGTTTTGCCGTCGACGTAGTCCCGCAGTCTCATCTGATCATCGGCATAGAGAATGTGGTTCTTGCCTTCAAAGTGCACAGAAGCCAAGGGAGTCCTTACCATGACTCTGCTGCCCTCAAGCACTTTTCCCTTGTCTAGATAAGAGACAGATGATCAGCTTTGCTAGAAGCAAAGGTATCTGGGGTTAGGGGAGGTGATAACTTACTTTCCCAGCGCCGGCGTTCGGCCTCATATCTCCACCACTTGATATTCTTGTCATGGTCCTGGTGATACAAGTCCACGTTCTCCCGAGTGACAATACATGCGAGATGCGTTCCGGGAAGCGAGAGAGGCTCGTCTGAGAGTACGTGCTCCAGACGGAAATTGCCCTTGTTATCCCGGCGAAGTTCAGTAATGGGCGACTTCCCCTGCTCCTCCCGGCTGTTACCCTATCAGTACTGTCATGATGCATGTTTATGTGGCATAACCCCCACCTCGTGAAGAAAACCAGCTGGGTTACATGGGAGCTTTCCCGGTCGAGACCTCTCTGCGACACACCACTGGTGATGCGCGAGTGTTCTGCGGCATGGCCTGGAGGCTTGGGAGCGTCTTCCCACTTGTCTGAGGAAACCCGTCTGACCTTTTCAACCAAGTGTCCTTCTTTGTTGAGATAGATCATGTGAATCTATAGGTTGCTGTTAGCAGAGCTACCTTTATCATAGTATCTCAGTGTACACATGCCGTGGAATGCTTGTCATAGTTCAGATCCTCTTTGACGTAGTAGGCAGTCAGAGGGGAACCGCCACTCTGCGCGTCTGCGGCGACTTGCACAGATGTCTGTGTTGGAGGGCCACCTTCCTCGGAGAAGGCCTCGACAATGTAGCCGGACCTTTGGTAGAAGAGATACAGGCTCTTGTCATCGGTCGTCAAGCCGGCAAGATCGGTGCTGCCAAGAGAAGACATGATGATTGGGTTTGAATGAAGATATCTGCTGTTGATAGTGATATTGTATTAAGAGGGTATTGAGAAGATTCGAGACGAGTTGGATATAGAATAATTGACGGGAATCGAGGATAACACCGGCTGATATATATAGCCATTGTTCTCTGAATTTGCTTATAGGGCATGATATGGCCATGGAAAGTATACCCGAGCATACGTCAAAACAGAGTAAAAGACATGTTTGGATTGGGCGCAAACATACGTCAACTATAGGGTGTGGAATTGCCTGGACACCCATATATGAAGCCAAATTTTAAGTTAGGGATCATAGATCTTTATATCATATACGTCAAGTGACAGGAAGAGGAAATTGTTGGGTTGTCCCAACGGACAGAGGGAAAACGCCACATATTATAAATGATAGCCCAACGGAGTGTAACTCAAAAGTCAAGAGGCACCATAGGTAAGGAATATCTCTAAAGCTGGGAAGTCGGGTACCTAGAGCACTGCCACTGCAGTTTGTCAAACTTTAGAGGATAAGGGCTAATGATCCTAAGTTGGTATATACAGTAATCTCCTCGCTCAACGTTGGCCATTGTAACTACTAGCAATATAGAAAATCTTTCGCAACTAATTCTGGTTCTGCTTAGTGTATGTATCTATTGGATCTTAACACACATGGTGAAAGCACTGCATCAATAAACAATTTCTGTACTCCATCCATTACCTCCACCAGCACAGACCCTCTCCCATCTCCTATATTTGTGGAACTGCGGGGATTTGCGAGGCGATGTTGAGCACTAATACCTTGAAACAAGGGCGGTCCAGATCCTGATCCACCCTAAATGGTAGCTGGAACCACGGACCGTATCGTCCATGGCATATCCTGGCTCAACCATACATTAATACGGGCCAAACTTATAGCATAAGAATGAAAAGTGAAAGGCTACCATCGGATGCTATTCAGCAATATTCTCCCAATGGAGTAAATTCAGAGCTACATGCCAGCCTTTTAGCTAATGAATATTCACACAGCCAATGGCGGGTTCTGGGGTCGGATTGACCCAATTATTCAGATACTTTAAATATACAGCTATGGGTAATCCTACTCTTGTTTATGCTCACCGCGGACACCCCTTCCTAGAAACATTTCCCCTCACGATCTTCTGCAATAATGTAAGCCCCACGTACAGGCTTATGAACTACACTCCTAAAGGCCAGGAAGTATGTCCCGACAGCGTTGGAGCCCTGTTGCCTAGGCATTCTGACTGGTTGCCATCGGGTAATATTGCACCATGAGTATATGACTTCAGGATAACGTAGCCTCCCGTCGGGAACATCGGTAGACGGTGACCAAGCTAGGGAGAGTGCCACCACAGATAGAATATTTTGTCAAAAGCAAGTGAGAACGGAGGAACAAGTTATGATCTACCCTGACAAACTATGGCACTTCTACCTCGATGAACAGTACGCAGTCACAGGCACTGAGAGGGCGTTTCTAGTCAGCAGAAATGATGAGATATATCATAACAGAATCTTACTAGAAATATACTACTGACATAGGGAGTAGTCCGAGATGTGTTGGCACACTGGCATGATGAAGGACTGTGTATCAAATGAATTTTGCAACTTCTGAGGTCTTTAGTTGAGCTAAAAAGTTCCGATAATCTAATTATATAAAAACAACTGACCGAGTCCTCCTCTGTGACATAACGACCCTGGTATAGATTTCTTTTATTTTCCATTTAAAGAGACTAGTAGGTAACACAAAAAAATATCTCTGTAAATTAGAAATCTGATTCACAGCATATAAAATCAAACTCCTAAGGGGAGAGGTGTAGATCTGAAATAGCTGGTTCTTGAACCATCGGATTATCTAACTAAAGATATTAATATTTCTGGATCCAACAGTTTATATATAGCGTGATTAAGTCATTGAAAAGATATATATTCAAGAACCTCATTAACTTCTTGTGAAGCTCTTCTTCACCGTTCTACATACGACATATGTTCAGAATGAGCTATGTACAGAGAAATCAGGATACAACACTGGCACACGCTTGTCAGTCAAAGTGGCCCTTCAAAGTTTAGCATTGAGGGCAGACCTTTTGTCCTCCTCGTCAAACCGCAAGACAAATGTCTCATCCGGGTTCTTCGGCCGGCCAAAACGCACAGTGGCCTCTCGGCGAGTATGATCGTACATGATGTTGAACAAAGTGGATCCCCTGCTTTTGCCCTCCTCATATGCCCGACAGATGCTAAAGGGGTAATTGTCTTCATCCTCCCAGAGGCGAGAGAATGCTTCTTTGGTACCATCGAACCCATCGAGGAGATGCTCCATACGCTGATGGCGACTCCACGAGTCCGGTAACGGATCGAGTTCTTTCGCATTTTCACCGTGGTTGAGCAAACAGTGGTTGGTGTGCACCAGCCTGCCCTTCGCGTCGAGCACCTGCTTTCGGAGGCTGATGGGGGAGAATTCCAGCCCGTATGCCTCTTGCCCGTTGCCGACCATGATAAAGGCGCTGGCGGCCATTCCACCTTGCTCCACGATCCGGTCATAGGCCTGGGAAGGGGAAGTGCTCTCAAGCGCCATGCGGAGGGCAAGATGCGAAGGAAGTCCAGAGGGCCGCAGGCCCTGAAGGTGAAGAGCATTGTAGTTGACGGCAACCCCCGCACTGTTAAATCCAACTTTGCCGATAATTCCAGCTTCCGTAATCATCTTGATGGTGGGTAGGCCGGGCTGACGGATGGTCAACTGGATCAGATTCTCTTTGGTAGCAGTAAAGAACTAGAACTCAGGAGAGAATGGAAATGTAAATGTCAGCGCCAACTTCAACAGGGTGAGATTGAGGAAGAAAAATGCCTTAACGTACATCCCAGTTCTGGCCCTGTAGCGCTCCATTGGCCAGCTTGCAATAGACGGTGGTGCAGCCATCACGGGCCTCGACGAGGCCATATGCAAATTCTGTGCGTGTATTAAGCATGACGATCTCGGAGACATCGCGTTCGGCGCCCTTTGCAATACCTTTGGTTTTTTACGAGCCCCTGTCAGCATGATACAGAAGAAAGTAGGACGACTGGAGCAACACTCACCGCGAATCTCCTCGTAATATCTGGGCCATCTCTTCTCAATCACACTTCCCAGCTCCGTCAGGATCTGCTTAAGCTCGTCTTCTGTTTTCTTGGTTTTCCCTCGGATAAGACCGACGGCGAATTTGAGGGATTTGGCGATTACAGCTTTGGCGGTTGAGCCATGTTGGTACCCAATCTGGACTAGGTTAGACCTTGACCGATGGTACGAAGAAATGCGACATGCAGTAAAGGGCCTACCTCGAAGGGGGTGCCTTGACAAGTAACTTGAAGCATGTTGGGTGTGGGCCGTCGTTTAGCAAACAGCTGAATTGGACAGAGATGAAAGACGCAGCCTTGGGGTTTGATTATCCCGGTGGGAAGGCACGCTGAGACATATTGATTTTTAATTAAATATTTTTCCTGGTCCACTTTACTATAACCAAGCCACAATATTGAATCGAGTGGGAAACATACTACTCGGGAGTAGTAGCATGAGTGGTACATACTACGTAGTAGTAGTATGCCTTGGATGACCTTGCCTAAGATAGCCTTGCAAACATCGGTAGACTAAGATGGCCCCTGGCAAATTACCTTATCGCTTGGACCCAAACGCAGCCATTGGAACCGGGTGGAGTCCAACACGAGATATAAATCCACTTTCCACTATCCGCATGTTTAGCGTTCTGCAGACTTTGTTTAGGGTTGCATTCTGGCTATGCTCAACGCCAATCAGAAGCTGTTTAATTGCTCTCATTCCGTTATTCGACGCAGAGCGCACCTAGCATCTCGGCGTATGTAAAGCTGTGGAGGTCAATTCAGCAAACAAAAAGTCATCCACGTAGTGGCAAATGCCAAGGGAATGGCTTCGGCACACTGGAGCTGAAGAAAGCAATGTATTAGGTAACCTCTTGGCAGTATCATCTTACAAGACAAGAAGGACAGGCTGGCAGTTCACGGTCTTCTTCTAGATGGGGCCATCGGCTGCAGCATAAACTATTTCGAACCAATACGTAAGATGTGCATATTTCTGCATTAGGGCAATCAATTTATGACTAGGTAGCTTCGGCTAGCCCTCCTGCTAGGTCTGGCCATTCTTGTTGATCAGACTAACCAAGCCGTTCTGCAGATACTGGCCGTAGGACACTGGCTCCTTCTCCGTCTTGCCGTCGGGGTGCCGAGGGTCCCACGGTTGGACCGTCTCGTCAAAGCCCAGATTAACAAAAAAAGGAAGTGATTGGCGCTCCTCGTTCACCCATTTTACCCGATGAATGGGGGCGGGGTAATAGTTATTGGTGATGTGTGCCATGTAGCTGCCGCAGTTGATCAGGTAGCCGGCGTCGTCTGCCTCGATGTCAAGGTAACCTTGAGGAGTCTCCACTTGCAGGTTCTGCACGTTGGATTGGTACAGGACGGTGATGAGCGACACATCTTCATGCCATTCAAAACTCAATTTGGTGCCATCCGCTGCGGTCTTAATGGCGGCGGGTGGGTAGGGGTCTAAGAAGGGGTAACGGATGAGAACGACCGATGAGAGAGCGTCGTCCTTCTTGAAGTGGCGGCTGAAGAAGTCCTCCTCCTTGCCTAGTCCCAAAGCATAACCTCGCAGCAAAGCTGTTGAGAGCCCGAACACATCCCAGTAGTACTGCTCGGCGAAGTCGCGGAAGCCCGGGTGCTTCGTCTCGTCGGGCCACACGTTGACCTCGTGAGTAGGTGTCTTCGATTGGATGCGAGGGTGGTCCGTCTTGAAATTAGGATTCAGATAACAGAAGGATTCCACGGCCTTTTTGCCTGGAATAGACAAATAGTACCCAGCCCGGATCTGGTCCTGGTGCTCCTTGTTGTAGGCGCGAATAGCAAGGTCCCATTTTTCTTCATCTGTAATGGACATGTGGAATTCCTTGGTCTTTTGCGAGAGTCGATTCACATCGATTCCATGGTTGATCGCGTAGAAGAAACCGGTGTCGCGCGAGGCAGCATCAATCGCGCGCGCGACCTTCATCTTCTCCTCCATATTGTCACCAAACAAGGGTGACACATCGATCTTGGGGACATTGGCCTTGGGAGCAGAAGACATAGTGCGTAGGAAAACGACAATAAGGTTCCAATGGCTACAGCAGTGACGAAGAGAGATAGAGCGAGATGTAAAGAAGGTGAGTTTTTCTTCATAGAACCATGAGTGATGAGCACAGTCGTAAATAGGACATCTCTTCGTCTCCGCCTAAAAGAGCCACGGAGGGTGGCTTACGCTCAGCCCACCGCCAAACTGGACCCATAATCCCCTAGGTTTCATCGCTTGAAGGGTTCCGCGGGAGCCAACATAATCTGTTAGCCCGATAACGAGGTCAGAGAGTCTTTGCTGGTCTGGGTCCTTAACCAATCTGCATCGCGGTATATGAAGACGGCACAACTAGACCAATCATCGATCATCCGACAGGCATCAATGCCTTAGTTTGAGGAATGCAGGTACTATAATAGAAACCGAGCCGGGGATGTTCGCGTAACACGACAGGGTCCCCGGTCGATAAGTCATGGTGGACCTGCCAAGCCTCAACGGCCAAAGAAAGGTATACACTGTGTATCCAAATCCCACCCAAAGACGATGTCCCGAGGTGTAACAGCCCGCATTCACATGTCCGCATCACTTTGGATCTGATCGTTGCGTGTTAGATTATTCTCATATTTGGTTCAAAGAAAGCAACCCAAGATCCATTGGAACTAAAGATGGGACCTTTCTCACTCTGTGGTTCCTGCAATCAGAGCCGGCCATAGTTCGGACTATGCGTCCCACCCTTTATGGCATGACGGCGCGGGGCTGTTCCTGTGGCGCTGTGGGACGATCTTCTGGTGCGACGTGGGGATACTTCACGGCAAAGGAGCAAATAGCATCTGGTGTGCTGTGGACCAGAATAGACGGGAATTCTCCATACTGTCTCGGGGGGGACGTCTAAAGTAGCACAGGCGGTTTTTGTTGGAAATGGGCCAAGCAGAGAAGATACCTTCGCAGCGGGAGATGAGCGTGGCAAGCCCAATATAAAGTATTTCCTGTATGGCTCCTAAATCGTCAGTTATGGCGTCTTTTTAAACTACTCTTGTATCATTACGCTTGTCAACGACCAACATGACTCAATTGCCGCTGGGAAGCGAAACCAGTTCAGGATCGATAAGCTTATCGAGGACCACGGACTCCAGGGCCAATGAGGGTGAAAATGTTGACAATGACATGGTTAAACCCAGCAATGGCGACATCAACCCTCACAATGGGAATGCGATGGGAGGCAGGATCCACATCCGTTTTCCCGGGGGTATCGAGCGATGGAAGGATTTAGTGAGCCAGGTTACCGAGCGCTGCGACGTGAGTGGTCTAACAACCAATCCCACGAAATATCAGCTTGCATCGACGGGATTCGGTGACGCGAGCACTGTCTACCGGCAGCGCTTCATGACGGTGCCTAGTGAGGTGCACTCCGCGTTGCAAGAGCTTTGTGTTGAACGCCGTGTCAGCGTAAGATCCGTTATTCTTTTCGCCATACACCAGATGTTAAAAGGGTTTGGTAATGGATCACAAACTATTACCGCCTCTCTACGCCTTGAGGAGAATCCCCAAGATTCTCGGCTATCATGGGCGGTGTCACCTACATTCGTCAGCCATGAGAACAGAGAGGAATGCTCCGTGGCGCAAGCCGTTGAGGGTATTGAAGCGGTGCGCAGTTCGAAGAACCCGTTCACACACACAATCGACAAAGCGTCAGATCTCGTGGACTTGGGGTTGTTTGACTTACTCGTCATCTTTGCCGACGCAGACGGTGCTCCTCTTCCATTATTTGATTTCCCCTTAGCGGTGATGGTAGATGAGGGTGAAACAGGACTCCAGCTGACTCTGCGCTTCTCCGACTGTCTTTTCGATGAGGAGACAATATGTAATTTCACAGATGCCCTTAACATCTTGCTCGCTAAAGCAGCGACAGGAGGAGCGACACTAGTTAGTGATATCGAACTACTGTCATTAGAGCAACAGCAGCAGCTGGAGGAATGGAACAACACGGACGGCGAATACCCAGCATCCAAGCGGCTGCATCATCTAATTGAAGAGGGGGCTCAGCGCCACGAAGACAAGGTGGCCGTGGCTTGCGAGGAGCGAAAGATCACCTACGGCGAGCTTAACGCCCAAGCAAACCGTCTCGCACGCTATCTTCACTCAACAGGCATCCAGCCCGAGCAGATTGTCGCATTGTTCCTCGATAAGAGCGAAAAGCTTATTATTACCATTCTGGGTGTGTGGAAGTCTGGCGCAGCCTACGTGCCCATTGACCCGACGTATCCAGATGAGCGTGTTCGATTTGTGCTGGATGACACCGAGGCACAGGTCATCATCACCAGTAATCGACATGCCGAGAGGCTTGAGCGACAGATCGTCGGCGACAGACAACTCCGCATTATTCCTCTGGAGCCATTGCTCGAATCACTTGGTCAGGATACCTCGAGCATTCCAACGCACAACTTGGATGAGCTATGTCTCACGAGCAGGCAACTAGCCTACGTGACTTATACCTCTGGAACCACGGGGTTCCCAAAAGGTATCTTTAAACAACACACGAACGTGGTCAACAGTATCACCGACCTGTCCGCCCGTTATGGGGTGACCGGGCAACACCACGAAGCAATTCTGCTGTTCTCAGCCTACGTGTTCGAGCCATTCGTTCGCCAAATGCTCATGGCATTAGTAAACGGCCATCTCCTCGCCATTATCAATGATGCGGAAAAATATGACGCGGACAAAATCCTTCCCTTCATTCGCAGACACAACATTACCTACCTCAATGGTACTGCCTCTGTTCTACAAGAATACGACTTCACTGACTGCCCGTCCCTGAAGCGAATGATTCTGGTGGGTGAAAACTTAACAGAAGCACGGTATCTGGCTCTGCGCAAGCGATTCAAGAACCGCATTCTGAATGAGTATGGATTCACCGAATCAGCCTTCGTAACAGCCCTCAAGGTCTTTGAGCCCCAGTCAACTCGCAAAGACACGAGTTTGGGAAGACCTGTGCGCAACGTCAAGTGCTACATCCTTAATCCTGCTCTCAAGCGTGTTCCCATTGGGGCCACGGGCGAGTTGCACATCGGAGGGCTGGGTATTTCAAAAGGATACCTCAACCGTCCTGATCTTACACCGACGCGGTTCATCCCCAATCCCTTCCAGACGAAGCACGAGAAGCAGCTCGGAGTCAACAGCTTGATGTATAAGACTGGAGACCTGGCCCGCTGGCTTCCGAACGGCGAGGTTGAATATCTGGGACGCGCAGATTTCCAGATCAAGTTGCGTGGCATCCGAATTGAGCCCGGTGAGATTGAGGCGACGTTGGCTCAGTACCCTGGCGTCCGGACAAGTTTGGTAGTGTCTAAGAAGCTCCAGAAAGGCAATGAGGAAACCACGAACGAGCACCTTGTGGGTTACTATGTCTGTGACAACGCCTCGGTATCCGAGACGGACTTGCTGTCTTTCTTGGAGAAGAAACTACCTCGATACATGATCCCGACGCGGCTGGTACAGCTGTCGCAGATCCCAGTGAACGTGAACGGAAAGGCGGACCTGCGAGCCCTGCCAGCAGTCAATATTTCCAAATCCTCCGAGATTCGTTCCGATCTCCAAGGCGACATGGAATCTGCCCTTGGAGAAATCTGGGTCGACGTATTGGAAGCCCGCCCCGGATCGATCTCTCGCAGCGACAACTTCTTCCGTCTCGGAGGGCACAGCATTACCTGCATCCAACTCATTGCACGCATCCGAGAGCGACTCTCGATAATTATCTCTGTAGAGGATGTCTTCGCAACAAGGACACTGGAGCGCATGGCAGATTTTCTGCAGAGCAAACAACAGGAAGCATCTGATGGACGCTGTGGGAGCGAGTCTGCAGCGCAGTCAAGGGCACTGGAGGGAGATGCAGCCACCAATAATGTTTATAGGGCAAACAGTCTTCAGCAGGGATTTGTATATCATTATCTTAAAAATACGGAACAGTCCGATGCATATATAATGCAGTCTGTCCTGCGATATAATATCAAGTTGTCGCCAGACCTGTTCCAGAGAGCCTGGAAGCACACTCAACAGGCCTACCCGGCATTGAGGCTTCGTTTCAAGTGGGCAAAGGAAGTTTCACAAGTGATCGATCAGAATCAGCTGTTGGACTGGCGTTTCTTCTACTTTGACGATGTGCCTACGGGTGCTGTTGAGGATCAGAAATTGGTCGACTTGCAGCGCCAGGACCGCGAGGAGTCATACAAACTGGATGCCGGTAGGCTATTCCGCATCTATCTGATACAACACAGCGAGAATCGTTTCACATGTCTCTTTAGCTGTCACCATGCGATCCTTGATGGTTGGAGTCTGCCGCTTCTGTTCGAGAAGGTCCATGAAACTTACTTGCAACTGCTTCATGGGTACAATCTTGCCCCGCTCGCGGATGACCCTTACGCTCGCACTCAAAGGTATCTCCAAGCGCACCGTGAGGACCATCTCGACTATTGGGCCGGGGTGGTAGAGCAGATCGCCGAGCGGTGCGATATGAATGCCTTGTTGAATGAGCGTAGTCGTTACAAAGTCCAACTGGCGGACTATGACCAGGTACAGGACCAGAAACAGCTGACAGTGGCAATCGCCGGAGATGAATGGTTACGGCAGCTCCGTCAGACCTGCTCCACCCAAGGTATTACCTTACATTCGATCCTCCAGTTTGTTTGGCACGCAGTGCTTCATGCTTATGGAGGCGGTAGCCATACCATCACTGGCACAACCATCTCCGGAAGAAATCTGCCCATTAGCGGAATTGAACGATCCGTTGGGCTTTATATTAATACGCTGCCGCTGGTAATCGATCATTCAGCATACAAAGATAAAACTATCATGGAGGCCATCGAGGATGTGCAGGCTAAAGTAAACGCGATGAACAGCCGCGGAAATGCGGAACTGGGCAATCTTCGCAAAAACGACTTGAAGCATGGATTATTCGACTCGTTATTCGTGCTGGAGAACTACCCGAACCTGGACAAGTCACGGGTTCTACAGCACCAAAGCCAACTGCGATATTCAATCCAGGGAGGTACTGAGAAGTTGGACTACCCGCTGGCTGTCATCGCGCGAGAAGTGGAGGCAACTGGCGGAATCACTCTGTCTATCTGCTACGCCAGTGAGCTGTTTGAGGAGGTGACCATTTCCGAGCTGCTTCGTATGATCCAGGACACTTTGATGCGGGTTGCGCGAGGCTTGAATGAACCTGTACGCAGCCTGGAGTACCTCTCATCTGCCCAACTGGAGCATCTCGCCACGTGGAATGCTACG